CGGCTAATTCGGCGCATCTTCATCTCAAAAAAAAAAAAAGAAAAAAAATTTCCTGGTAGTCGTTCATAACCTAATATCAGATATTAACATTTACGATTTCATCTAGCTCTAATTCATTTTTGTTACCTAATAATGACACCATTTCTTATATCTGAAGTACTTCGAGAGATTCTTTTACATGTTGCAAATCCTTGTGAATTATCTGGAGCATATTCAATTGAAGGATTACGAGCACTTTATCCATGTATTTTAGTAAATCGACAATGGTGCCGAATAGCAGTCCCAATTCTTTGGAGTCAACCATTTCTATTCGGAAAAGATATTGATTATCTTCCAGTTATTTCAATGTATTTGAAATGTCTTGGAGATCAAGATAAAAAATCTCTTTTAAATCAAGGAATTGATATTTCGTTAATGTCCGACTTTAATCAAATGCAATTAGGTATAGAAGATAAAAAACCTATGTTTAATTACCCAGGTTTTCTTCGCATATTATATTATGAACAAATGATAAGTGCGGTTGAAAATTGGTGCGCCGAATTAGCCGACATAATGGAACAACAACAACCTGATTGTCATGATGATGTTATAGATGAAGAAAATAAAGTAACGTTGGTTAACAATGAAGAAAATAAAGTAACGTTGGTTAACAATGAAGAAAATAAAGTAACGTTGGTTAACAATGCCGAGGAAATTATAATGAAAACATTACTACAACTTTGTTTGAAATATGGTTCAAGATTATATGGTCTACACATAAATCCTGAAATGTTAGGTAAAGACCATGATGAAATGTACGAAATATTGTTGACTGATGATAATTTGAAAAATTTAGTCTCTCCTGTTCGTTCATTACACATTTATGCAACTGTCAGGAAAATAAAGTTGTATTTAATGCTAACGCAGAGATGTCATAAAATTGTTTGTATCTTCTTTGTATATAGCTGTTGAATACTATCAATAAATTTATATACTAACTCTTTTTTATTTTATTTTTATTTTATTTTTATTTTATTTTTATTTTATTTTTATTTTTTTATTTTAGGAACATTTGTATCTAAGCGACCTTTGGGCTCGATATCATTACGAAGAGAGCGTCGA